GTGTATGTTGCAGATGCATTTGATGTGGATTTTGTTTCAGATGCACACCATACATAATTGTCAGATGCACTTCAAACAACTTCATTTGTATGATTCAGATTCTTTCAACTGTCAATATGCCCCTGTAATATGTAGTAATAATGAATGCATGTAATTGTCATTTTCTTTCATTTTAATGTCTATTTGGAGAGACCAATGAAGATCCGGGTTAGTATTGGTCTTCAGCAACCCAAGAGGCAGCTAATGGGATCTGGTGGTCACACTCACTGACTTGGTTCACAAATGTCATCGTATCCCAACTGTGTAGATCGATACTCATGCTGTTGGTCACTGGATTGTCTGGTCCAGGCTCAATTAATCACAGACCGCCACCATATAGCTTTAATATTGCTAAGTGCAGTGTTACACAACAAACAAAACGCTGGACAAGGAAAACAAACAAGAAGCACCCGTTTTCACTTGCAATGCATATGTATACTTTATTTTATCACTAGTCTTATGTACAAAACTTGAAGCTATATACAAGAAATACCTTTGTACAACAGCTATATACAAGGTGAAGAAACGTTTTGGTTGCCATCAAATAGAATATGTACAATGATACATAAATGATACAAAGTGTTGACCTTCAATTATGACACCTTGTGACAAAATCTCAAAGGTAGGTAGTGTTATTGTTGTCAGTATATTCCTCATAACCTTGCTTATGATTTCTTTCCATTCCCGATTATAAGTATTTCAATATGCAGTTTCTTTATGTCAATGACAAAAATATTTATATGTGTATGTCAATAAAAATTACAGACTCAATTTGTTCACTTAATTCTTGCATGTTCATGTACCATAAGGACCGTATTTCCTCTAATAAACACTCAGGTGCTAATTTTTCAACGACTTCCATACCCGGTGCTTATCAGAGGAAATACGGTATATTAGATAAATATTACATTATAACTATACACCTATCCTTTAACATTCCATATGTCTGAAAAAAGACAGTGTGTTTCTTCTATTTTGATAAAATTAAAACTTGTGTATAAATATTTACCAGACTCACAGAGTACTTTAAACATTAAAGTCGTTAAAACAATGGCCCAGTTAATGGGAACAAGGTGATGAAGGTAAATATGAGTATCTGTTGCTAACTTTGATTTGAGCACAAACACAAAATATCACTGGAAAAACATGACAACTAAAATTTGCTTTAAAAACTAAAAACATCTGCATGAAATGGTTTCTGATATATATAGGCACATGATTTTATTATAAAAAACATATGTATTGAGCTGAATAGGAACTATGGGTCCATGAATAAACTAATTCAGGCAAATTACAATATTTCCATGACATTTTTGTTTCAATGAGCAAAGGCTTATCAATGATGTTTCCTGCATAGACTAAATGTTGAAACTATGAACAAACACATGTAACGATGCATGTGGAACACAAAGTAATGTAATACATACCAAATGCTAGTGTTAATGTAAACATGAATATAATGGTTGTACATTGTAGCAGGCTTCAAATGAAAGACAAACCTTACAAGATACTTCAATCTGAAACAGCCATATAAAATTCATTTCCAAAATAAATCAGGCAACATTTGACTATAACACAGTTGGTACAGGTTGATTACAATGCATTGTTCATGTCTACAAGTATGAGTGAGTGAGTTGGGCGAAATGGGTTTCACACATTGTACCCATGTGCGGAATTAAACCCAGGCCTTCGCCGTGACGAGCAAAATTGTTAAACACTAGGCTACCCCACTGCCCCTCTACAAGTATGAGCAAGAAACCCAGAAACGATTAAAGCCAAAGATTGTCCTTATCAAGAGCTGTGCTATGATTGTAAGAATAAAATAACCCCTTCCTATTATTCCTACATACTGATTAGATGTTGGAATGAAATGGAAGAAAATTGTGCAAGAATAAAAAATAGTAGGAATCACAATTTGTTTGAAAATATTACCAGCCACACAATCAGATATCTAGTGGTAGGTTGCTTTTGTGTACACCAATATCTGTCACATATTAGTATTTTGGGGCACCTTAAAAGGTGTACCAATATGTCATTTACAGGCATACGTAAGAGAAACCTAAACAAGATGACACTTGGCATTATTCCTAATCTCCAGTATCAACCTGAGCCTCACACTAAGAAGGTCCGGGTTAGAATATTGATCTTCAGTAACCCATGCTTGTCGTAAGAGGCGACTAAAGGGATCGGGTAGTCAGGCTTGCTGACATGGTTGACACATGTCATCGGTTTCCAATTGCATAGATTGATGCTCATGCTGTTAATCACTGGATTGTCTGGTCCAGACTCGATTATATAAAGACCACCGCCATATAGCTGGAATATTGCTGAGTGCGGCGTAAAACTAAACTCACTCACTCACTCTAAGAACAACTTTTAAACCAAACGAAGATAGTTGTGGTGGTGGGGTGAGGATAGTGGGCTGGTGAAGTAGGGTGGTTGGTGTGAGTGAGTGAGTGAATTTAGTTTTATGCTGCTTTTAGCAATATCACGGCGGGGGACACCAAAAATGAGCTTCACATATTGTGCCAATATGGACAATCGAACCCGGGTCTTCGGCGTGATGAGCAAACGCTTTAACCACTAGGCTACCCCACTGCCCCAGGGTGGGGGATGTTGGGAGTTATGTCCACGCTATGAATGGCATGAAGAGATATTCCTTCAGATCAAGTACACGGCTACACAGGAAAGTTTGAAGTTAAAAATATACAGCAAAAAGACCTTAAGGAATGATTACACTTGCTTCAATGACGTACAGCACAATAGACAGAGAGGGTCTTACCAAAAGTAAGTGATGGCCATGCCACTGAATATCATGAAAACAGAACAGTATCAACCGGAAAGGATGGTCAATGATCCAGTTATGACAAATGTTGACCAGTACCTGGTCATTAGATCACAGGAGCAATAACACAGGCTTAAAGGTCAGTTACCACAATAGCAGGACATAATTAACTCACAGAATGGACACAAAACAAACCTATTACTTCTTTCTTGACTTCTTGTACAGTGTTCTTGCTGTATTTGGGATGATCAAATAAACATGAATGCAGTAAACGTTGTTATCCATCATTAAGAGTGTCAGTGTTCTCAGTCACCTTTGACCAAAACTCCCCCAAATACATGTATAAACTGATTATAAGTCAACGTTGTGTTACCCAGGTAAACCAAGGTTAACAAGGTACTATTCAAAGAAGCGAAAATGAGAAATTATAAGAAACATTAAATACAAGAACATCAAAGGAAAACAGAAAGTTCAATTTGTGAAGATGAATTTGATTTAAACTTATGATATATATCCTGACTGAAGACTATACATTCGTATGCACACAAGATTTCCATTTTAAGGAACAATGAAGCGTTAAAGAACTGACACTGTCCAGTTCTAAAATAACATTTGCTCTCTACAGAAAAATCAACAGATACAAAAATATAACTATTTGCATTGCCAGCATATAACAAGTGGGTTCATATGGACAATAGTTTGCTTCGGGTCAGTGGACAACAATTGAAATGAACATGTCATTAAATGACACAATACTCGAAAACAGAAAATGAGTTCTTGCAAACATGATATGAATATCTTCGATACTTTAGCCATTCCAGACATTCCAGTGATATATATCATGAAAAATCTTGCTGCAAATTGTCTACTAAAAGAATTTGTGCAGGAACCTAGACCAAGTTAGGCAACATACATAAATACAATAGCATCACTTTCAGATTCAGCAACATCCAGGAGATGAAATGAACAGATTTTAGGAGACTGAGTGAAGACACAACCACACTTTCCATGAACAAGTGGTATCAAAAAGTAATTTTCATATACACTTAAATTTTAGAATTTTCAGCTGCCAAGAGTTTAAGCCATGGGCTTAGCCACAATGTTCTATGCATAAGCTTTACTCACTGAGACCCTAAAGTTTCAAATACATGCATCTGCACTGGTTATTTCAATAATCGCACTTAAAAAATTCCCAAGACAGGTCCAAGTTGATTTTATTTCTCATTACTGCATCATCCATAGTGTTGATATTCTGTTCACTTGTAAGGCAAGTATTTCATATCTAGGATTATAGGGTCACCTTAAGCATGGGGACAAGGATCTCACAGTTATTTCCAGTTGCATCACTTTTAGGTTCCACTGGCGATGGCAAACCTTTGTATTTTGTCTGAAATAACTGTTCCAAGGACTGGTTTGGTGTAAACTTCCATAGTACTGTAAATGTACTCCTCGTTCATACTGATCATTTTGTGCAAATAACTTAAAATATGTCACATTTAGATCGAAATAGAGCTCAAAGATATTGGTAGTGTTTTCTTATATTATTTTAATTAGAGAATAAAGTCAGCACATACTTATTCATTCTCCACTTCTACATTTGATTCAGATTGCATGTTTTAACGTCCACTTTCTGTACCTCTGGAACAAAATACACTGAAAGGTTATTTGCCCAAAAAGGTGGAATGTTCTACAGTTAGAAAGAAATGATATTAGTGAGCAATTCTTGCATTGCGGTCTTGAATATCAATGGATACACAGTCAACTGTATTATCACATATGTGTTTCCTGTATTCACATGTGAATAGACAATGTGAATACAAACATGCTTACCAATGCTTCAAATTCACAACTGAAAATATCATCATACCATTATATGATGTATATAAGACTATGAAGTCTTATCCCATTCTACCCCAGAAGTTCTTAATATTTTAAAGTTTGACACAATTAAAATTAAACATCTAGATTCTGTCTGTTATTAAATAAAACACATAAAGTTCATGACAAGAGTGGGTTGTCACAAAAGTTCAAAGCAGGCTATTGAAAATGACCTGCTTTATCAATTTAAACTACTTTCATAAATATCTCACATCTTAATCTCCATCTTGTTGGAATATGATATTCTGTCTGTGTTCCCATCTTCATATTAACAAATTTACAAAATGTTTTTTTAAAAATTCAAAATTAGAACAAAGTCCTACCCCACATCACCAGTGTTAACAGCTGAATGAGCTGAGATCTTTAAATTCTTGTTACCATGGGGCAATAAAACCAGACATTAACTTAATGAGCAAATCCACTTATCATTAGGCTAACCACATGCTGAATTATTGAAAGTCGCTGTTTACTATGAACCTCTGTGATGATCACCAAATCCCAATTCCCAAACTGTCAACATTATAATTTAACATTTCACTGACAACTTAGAATACAGGGTATACAATTTCATTAATAGCTATTTTATATACACAGATCTGTAACAAAATCTCATTGGTCAGGTTATCGATCAACGTAAACAAGACTTTACAAGTGGAACCGTGAAACACTTAAATACAATAAATTATTTCCATACTTTACTGACATCAATATACAAGTCTCCATTGACATCAAACCCTTGAGAAATCTCCAAACCATGATTGTTTCATTGTTTCAAACTGATAAAACACAATCTGACAATATCACACATGTAAAGAACCTTTCTGCCTGAAAAAGAATTCAGCACATCTAGAAATGATGGGTGTTAATGAATGGCACTTTAATTTGAAAGTCTGTTCCTTTTGGCTTCTCTTCACCATCTGAATATTTTGAAGAAGTATCTGTTTACATCTTGTCATATAAAGACTAGAGAAAAAAGCTGAACTGTATCTGCCAGCGCACCCTGATGATCTGGGTCCCGATCCACAAGGTCTTCATAAAGTTACGACATGTCATAACTCTATAATTTACCATAAGCTTACTGATGTTGTAGCGCTATGAACGCTTTGTGGATTGGGACCCAGGCTTGTTCCAACATTTGTGGAAAGTGTTCGTAAAGTTACGACCTGTCGTAACTCTATTATTTACCATAAGCTTACGAATCCTGTAGTGCTATGAACGCCCAGGCTTGTTCCGACATTCGCCCATGAGTGGAGGTGTGTACAGATGATACTGCTCGGATGCTGGTCGGACATCAGTGAGGATGATGATGGTGGCAGCAATGCCAGCGGTTAATATCACATTTGCTGAAGACACTCCTCCACAGTTACTCTCATGACGAGTCTTCTCTCGACTCGCGGTGTATCGACAACACTTGAGCAAATTTCTTTTTATCACTGTTCATACGTATTGTGTCTATACTGCGGAACAAATTGTCTGCAGATATGTCCTCAGGTAGTTTTGTGAGAAACTGGGCAAGATGGATGAAGTCCATGTTAATGAGAATTCCTTCATACAACCTTAATATTCCTGAAAAAAATAGTAAAGCAATGAAACAATACCATTCATATATATATATTTCTAAACATTTGTAACATATGACAATGATAACTAATTGTGAAACCAATTGCCCATATCACCCAACTAATTCTGTTTGGTCGTGACCCTATTCAGATCTGGACGCAAGTCCTCATAATTACATACAGATTGTGAACATTTAACAAGTTTTATTTGTTTGCCCATATGATATCTGTTTTTCTGATATCATTTTCTCCACTGTGAAATATCAAAACCAAAATAAGAAGTGGGGTTCTTTCCGCAAACCTACCATAGCTCTGATATGATTGTAACTACTATACTTAAACGTTGACATATGATCATCATAGACACATAGAGAATTCCAAGTACTTTGCTCCATTGCTGAATCCCCTAGCTTCTGTAACTCATAGTGAGTGAGTTTAGTTTTACGCCGCACTCAGCAATATTCCAGCTATATGGCGGTGGTCTGTAAATAATCGAGTCTGGCCCAGACAATCCAGTGATCAACAGCATGAGCATTGATCTACGCACTTGGGAACCGATGACATGTGTTAACCAAATCAGCGAGCCTGACAACCCGATCCCATCAGTAGCCTCTAAACGACAAGCATGGGTTACTGAAGATCAATTCTAACGCGGATCTTCACGGGTCTGTAACTCATAGCCCCTTAAACATCTGGTGCATATCCTATTATCAGTCTCACCTAAAGCTGTGCGAAATAGAAACTCCTCGCCATCACGACAGAAGACATCCCAGACCCGACAGGCTACATCCAGAGGTAGAGACTTGCCATAGATTAGAAATATCCTGAAAATATACACAGAAAGTCAACACAAGTCAAAACTACTGCACTGATGCAACAGTAACATGACCTCTGCTGTTAGCTATCATGGTGGACAGGATATGGTATCTTCATCCACCATTCATGTATTAATATAGGAGAAGAGAAACCCTGTAAAACAAGAATGATGCATCTTCTTGCTACCTCATTGGGCACAAATCGTCCTTCTGTTGACCCAATCTGATCTAATACAGGGTTTTGGACGATGCGCAAATGTGTGTCCAGTACGCACAAATGTAGAGAATGGACATAGAAAAACAATACACAGCGTCCAAAGGAATGCAAAGTATTATTCATTGTACCGAGTGATCTTTGACTTTGCTAAATGTTTGGTTGTTTCTTTCAGAGCTGATTCGTGCATCATTTCATCCATCAGTCCACATGATCAATGATTCATTCCAGTCTCTAAAGAAATTATCAAAACGTACAGTTCTACACAGGACCCTCATAGTGTCTGTAGGGACCCTTAAAACTAATAATTGGGGGTCCTGGGACAACCATGTTTGTGTGTCAGGTAAAACCCTGTTAATATCATCAAAATCAGACCTTTATTCCCCTGCCATAATACTGCTGGAACACTGCTAAAATGGCATAAAACCCAACTCCCTCACTAACTGATCCACTCACCAGTCTAGAAGGTAAAGGTTAGGTGTGAGAGCCTGGTCGACAAAATGATCGTGTAGATGGGGCAGGTTTTCTCTGAAGAATTCTGTGAATGTGTCATAGTAGGCCATCATCTGAAAAGACAAAAAATAATAATAAACCAATAACATTCAAGTTGCCAGATTCAGGTTCAGACTTGTTGCTAAAGTTACATACTCAAAGCGATATTTGATAATCGTTGGTATAATTCCTATGGAAACAAAACCACACAAAAAATTCAAATATTTCAAACCCTATGCATATAAATCAATTTTACACCCGCAACTCTCAAGGTTATAGACGTAAGGAAAATAAAGAAATTTATGGGTGATCTCAAGAGATACTTTTAGCTTGATACCGGCATAAGAATCTCCACAGAAACATCGCTCTATGAAATTAACAAGAAGTTGTTATCCATAAAGTTATATGCCTCATTATCGATATAATGAGAGTTTCATGTTGAGTTATCACTTAACAAATACTGGAACAAGAGACAGCTGTTACTGACCATGGCCTCATCCATACGGAAAAAGGTGACTTGACACGGTCGGTTGAGCAAGTTGGCGAAACAAACAAAGGCATCTGCCACATCCATGTTTAAGAGGAGGATGGCAGCGATGAACGACATACCCTGAACCTGGAAGGAGAGATGATGAAGATGTACATCAGCTGCAGGTAACATATCCTCATCCTGTGGATCAACAGCAAACATTTCCCCATGGAAATATTAGTTTAACTACCATATATGGCTGTGTATAATGAGACCCAATGTATAAGGTTGTCCATCTTCTAAAATCATTCAAAATCGATGGTAATCTAACCTTCTTTGATTGGCATTCTAGAATTTGAAAAGATGAAGAATGAGGAAATATTTTTATGGATTTACAACTTCTTTATTCTGTGTAACTATTTTGTCTGTTTTGTGAATAAAAGTGAAGGTAGATTTTAATTTAACCATAAAGTTAATTATAAAATGCCATATATTTCTATGAGTGTGTGGGTGAGTGAGTGAGTGTGAGTGAGTTTAGTTTCACGCCGCCCCAGCAACATTCCAGTTATATGGTGGCGATCTGTAAATAATTGAGTCTAGGCCAGACAATCAAGTGATCAACAACATGAGCATCAATCAAAGCCATTGGGATATGATGACATGTGTCAACCAAGACAGTGAGCTGACCACCTGATCCAGTTAGTCGCCTCTTACGACAAGCATGGGTCACTGAAGATCAATTCTAACACGGATCTTCACGGGTACCGGTTCTGAGAAAAAAACATTGCAATACATATTGCAATATACCAGTAAAACAGAGCAGTTCTAGCAACTACACCAGAACTTACATATCCCACATCAGGCCTGTAGCATGCATAAGCTCCCAGTAGGCTGTGAAGGAGGTCGTGATATGGCCCGCCCTGAAACATTACAACAGTCAACACGTTGTGCATCACCAAACTAGGATAAGACACTACCTGTCAAACTGTCTTATTCATCATGAAGCCCAGTGTACTGCTCAAATAACGGTACAACTCCTAACTGAAATTGTCTAGTTGAATTATCTCCCTTGGATTGTCAAATACAACTATGATACAGAGGTTTTATTCATGCAATAATAATTCTAACCAAAACATTGTTAATTTGCATGATTGTTGATCATAGTGTATCTGTATATAAACTATTTAGTTGACACAAACAAAATATTTACCATTTTGTGTAACAAGTCTAAGTAAATTTTATTACCTCTCAATTTATGTAATTAGCAAAATCTGAGCTTGCAATCATTTAATGATTCCAAGATATAACAACTTTCAGGCAGCAGTAAACGTGTTTAAGCCAAGATTCAAACAAACCACTGACTGCTAATAAAACCCATGATCTAAGCCCAATATTCTATGTAGAGGTAATTATATTCATAACGTTATCCAAGGACAGGTGATCTCCCACAAAGTATGTACACAAACTTAAATGAACAAAACCTAATGATACAATGATGTTTTTTTTCAATGAGTATGTTCAGTAATCTTCAAGTGTCACAATAAACTCCTGGAACTACACAGTCACTGTTACATACCTTCTGGAATATACAGAGTTGAGGGAATGTTCGGGATACGTCAAGTTTGATGACATTGACGCTGTCTTCTTTGTTGGACGGAGGTTCATTTGAGACTGAAAACACAAAAATACAATAGTTGTTTGAGAATTGAAAGCATTAAACAAAACATACATGAAACATTCAAATTTGTATTTTATAACAAACTCTAGTGACAGCATCCCTATTAGAAAGAGAGCATCTCCAAATTATTTCTTATATTCCTGTTAATGCAGATTTTCTTTGAGCAGAAAGTGCCAGGAATTTGTAAAACATTGGATTGAATGTGTGATGTGTTATGGATGAGAAATGATAAAATGAAAGAGTTATCTCCCCTTGAACACAAACCTTCTGTTGCTCCTGACGACTCACTGGCTGATTCTTGCATCAGTTTGATCCGGTCCTCTGCTCGGCTTACACAGATCTCGTACAATTCTGAGAAAAAATCACAATTATGTTTTTAGGGTGTAGCTTAAAAATTTGTCTTTAAACTGAACAACAGAAAAAATGAGAAAATGAAAATTAGAAACTTACATCAGTGGATGACTTAATACTTGAGTTTGAGTCAAGATCCTGGATAGGTTGAACAGTAAAATATGCTAATCATTCTCCAATTTGTTTTAAGTATTCATTTGTGAAATGATTGAACTTATTTCATGAATGTGTAACTGAGAGCAAGCAACAAGCAGTTTAAAGGAACTCTTCACACCCTCAGGCCATGTTACAGAATCACCCAGATCCCACACTGTGCCCAACAAATCCTAATTAGCCAGATCTTACAACAAACAAAGAGTACTACGAACACATTCAGCCCTGGAATCCCCAGAGATCCGCCATGTGGGGTGTTGCTATACCTACCCTGAGTGATGTTTAGGTCATTGCCGAGAGCCAACCTCCACACCTTCCCCCGGACGTTGGGCGGCAGACCGATCCACCACAGGTCACGTGCCTTCTTACTGCCTTTCCTGTTGGGGGAAACAAAAAGCGTATATCATCTGAATTTCATTTTCACACTCCTCTCATATACAGAAACGATTATACCAGGGTATTTCATCTCAATGCCTTTTGGGGAACACACAGAAGTTCTCTTATTAAGCATACATGATATCAGTCACTCCGTCCCAACTGTGCATCTCAGTGACACTCCGGCGCAGTGATGACTTAACTTAACATCACTACCACAGGCATAATTTGCATACGCAAGCTTTTCGGTGCTCTTCACCATGTTTTACATTGTTACATGTATATTCTTCCACAACTACGCAAGTAAGGTTTATGACAATACATATTTAGATATCAAACTGGCTGCAGCGTTTGTTCTCCGTCGGCTTCGATGACAGCACGTGGAGCCGCAAACCTATGTAAACAAAGGATCGCTACGCAATTCGAAATAGTGTTACATGTTTCAGCATATTTTCTCAGTGAAACTAAACCATTCTATCAAAGATGTTTAATTAGACGTATAGACTCATCAAAAATAAAAGAGTTAAGAAATATTACGTTATATTGAATGGACTGTGTAAGATGTGACGAATCGTCACATCTTTCTGGCCTGTGGCAGAGGTACTATGCTGGCTGGCCACATGGAGCTCTGGGTAGGAGAGTGTGGTGTTCCACTGTGTTCTAGTTGGGTGGTCATTGTCCTGATCTCTAGACGCCCACACTATCCCATGCTGGTGCTGGTTATCACTCACAATATGCAGATCAATAATCGCAGAAGGACTTCCTGAACCCCCCTCCCTCTCTCACCACCCGCTCTCCATCCAAACTTTCCATCACTGTAAGACCCCTCAAGCCTCTCCCCCATTCACTGTGTCTCACAATGATCTCTCCCCACCCGATCTCTTTAACCCTCTCCCCCACTCACTGTGTGTCCCAGTTGGGCAGGACTTCGTTGTTCCAGATACGTGCTGCGGCCACCAGCTGGTCCTCCTGGCGTAGCTGCTGCTGTAACTGCCTCTTCTTCTGCTTCATCTCCTTTTGTTCTGCAATCCAATGACAATGTTGTACTCACTGTCCACTACTTCTCTGTCAACCGTACATCATACAAATCACAAGTACTGCAACTTCATCATCACAAAAACATTTATCCCATTCAGAATGCTTAATAATGATTCTTGTCCAACCATATAAAACATTATCAAGAGACAGGTCAAAATCTGGACAGCTAGTTCTTTTCTCCCCAAATCCAAGTTATCAATATAATCACTGGTCAAAATTTAACAGAGAACATGTTGGATTTGAAAATAGTATATCACATATAAACTGTAGCAAATAGTAAATACCATGTAACACATATGGTCACACCTTAGGCAAGCAGGTTTGGTCAAAATTGCCTCTGTTCACCCAGCAGTGAAAAGGTACCTGGTAGGATAATATGGTCATTTGACTGCAAACTTTCTAGTGCCTGACAGGCATCTTAGGTTAACCAAGGTAAATATATTAAGAGCTCTACAAATGTATTATTACTACTGTACTACCAGATGGTGAATATGACAACAGTCGAACATAATCTTGGAGTGGTGTACCAAGCTTCCATACAGTATTCTCGAAATCAAACTTGACTACCTTTTCTCCGTGCTGCTTCCACCATTGTTTCATACTCTTGTCGATGTTTCTCTGCTTCTTCAGGATTTTTGGATGGGAGGTTCCTGAAGCCAAAGAGTTAGTGATTGAAATCTTATGTTGGGATTTTGAATGACTGAGCTAAATTCAATGTCACCTTAAACTATATTTCAGTCACTCCAGTTTAATGTAGATGGAAAGCCTTAAGAGAAGAATATTGTAAATGTTTCAAAACCCACCAGAATGTTGCTGACAAATGAAGAATCATAACTGACATATCTGAAAGTCACACACATGGGCATGAAAACAAAAATCAGTAATCTGTTACTCAAGGTTGGAGAAACGACTAAAGTGATGCAGGTGTTACACAGTGAGTGAGTGAGTGAGTGAGTGAGTGAGTGAGTGAGTGAGTGAGTGAGTGAGTGAGTGAGTGAGTGAGTGAGTGAGTGAGTGAGTGAGTGAGTGAGTGAGTGAGTGAGTGAGTGAGTGAGTGAGTGAGTGAGTGAGTGAGTGAGTGAGTGAGTGAGTGAGTGAGTACTGGGTTTTATGATGCTTTTAGCAATATTCCAACAATAACATGGTAGGGATATCAAAAATGGGCTTCACACATGTACCCATGTGGGGAATCGAACTCTGGTCTTTGGCGTGACGAGAGAACGCTTTAACCACTAGGTTACCCCACTGTCCCTTACCACTTCAGAGACACCCAGATTACTGACAGAATAATGATCACATTCAGAGATTTCATCTAGCTGATCTGACCATCTAAGGGGCATAACTTACACAAGAAACACAAGACAGATTGCAGTGAGTTTGGATATAACAGCATAATGTCATAGCGCCAGTGTTCTTTCAGAAATCATCTAAAGCCAACAATCAGAGACATGATGTTTAACAATGAACAACTCTGCTGATGAAAATCTCAACACGAAAGGTCACCTCAGAAATGCATTCTTGTGCTTATGTGATCTCAGCCAGATATTGTGAAAAGAGTCTAAAGAATCAGCTTTTGATGGAAATGTGCGGACAAAATAGAATGACAAAATTCAATAATCATAAAAAAATGATTTTATAAACCCTGTCAGCTCTCACCAAACTAATATCCGTAGCATCTTAACTCATGGTAATTTGAAATGTAGTCTAGGATATTAACAGCAGTAATATTCATATATGCAGTCAACCCATGATAGACAACCACAGCCAGATAAATACATCACTCTTTGGCCTTCTCCGTTCCATCGTCCTTAGCATTCAATCCATATAAGCCCATCTATTGAATAATGCATGTAAACTTCAAACACAATCGTTTTCAACCATATTGTTTCATGCAAAGCGCAGCAGACTTTTTACTACTTTTTACCTCTGCAAAAAATGCATACTGGTCTGCATCAAAGACCATTTCATGAGTTTCACAACCCAAAATATCCTTGCATCAGCAACAAAGTACTTGAAAATTGTCGCTTCTCCTCAGACTGCAGAGGGCAAAGCTTAATATAAATGTTGCAGGACTATTTCAATCAATATCTCTTGGAAAGAAGGAATGAGGTTTGTTGCTCAATTTTATGAAAATTGGATCCTAATGGCAGCCTAGGAAGGCGTATTGCATGGTTAGAGATAGAGTAATTGTATGTTCCCGGTTTCTGTTGCAAGAAAATCGCCTGACTAAAGGACAGCAACAACACACATCATGATAGTCTCACACTTCGGTACACATCACGACCTCTTAAAGAGAACCTGAATAAATGTCTAAGATCTCCTGTGCTTTTAAAAGATGATGAAAAAAACATGACATGGTTTAAAAGACCCATCACACACACTGTTCGAAAGAGAGTCTGAGTTGTCCATACGAAGAGCTTTGGGGGAGCTGGATCATCTGTGAATGTTGGTTAAGGTATAGGATTTCATCAGCTTAATGTTGGAGAAATGACTAAAATGATGCAGGTGTTACACAGTGAGTGAGTGAGTGAGTGAGTGAGTGAGTGAGTGAGTGAGTGAGTGAGTGAGTGAGTGAGTGAGTGTGAGTGAGTGAGTGAGTGAGTGAGTGAGTGAGTGAGTGAGTGAGTGAGTGAGTGAGTGAGTGAGTGAGTGAGTGAGGTTTTCACAGCGGGAGACAACAGAAAAGGGCTTCACACATTGACAAGCATGACAAGAGGACGCTTTAACCATTAGGCTACCCCACCGCTGTAGGTGTTACACACAAAGCACTTTGTGAAATGGTTAGGTGGTGAGAAACCTAGACCCGAAAACAGGCCGATCCGGCCTTCACAGCACAGCACAGCATTCTGTCACAACTATATGAATGTAAGGGATCTCAGTCACTACGTACATAAACAGCCAATAAATCATCCATTTTGGCCATCTGATCCACAGTCATGATCATCTTGTTGGATACTAACGCTAACCTGTGTCCACTTCACACTGCTAAAGTATCAAAATACTTGTATATTTGTAACTGTGCAACTCTGTATTTTATTATTCAGAAGAAGAACATGAAAGTTACTGCATGTTCTAACTAATGTGACACTTTTCAAAATATCCTTGGTGGGATTAATATTCCACTGAAGAGTAATTCATTGGTGCCACTGTGTTTGATCACCATCAGAGATAGTGTGGTAAATGAACCCACTATAGGCAGATCCTGCAACAACTAAGGGATGTAACTCAGCACAACAAATTCGAGTGACTTAAACATTGACAATAATGATGATGATGATGATGATGATGATGATGATGATGATGATGATAAACAATGATGAGCACAATGTACTGAGAACAGTTACATGACTATTGCCACACAAACATCACATCCCCAACATATGATGAGAGCAGTTTACTGGCAACAGCTGTCTGTCATCTCACAGAGTTACTCATCCTCACATGCATTGCCTGCACTTACTGTTAAATAGCCCACTGACCCCATCAAACAGGTTTGTGGCTCAGAATGTTTCACTTTAACATGCTACATTCACCGGGGTTCAAAACTATCTAAAGTCTGCTTGTGGGAGCACAATATTATTTCCTTGTGGACAACCTCTGTTAAGGTAGATGGCAATTCTGTAGCACATCATTTAGGAGACAAGTGTCAATACAAACTAGCCCCTAATTTATTTACTACAGTCAGTGGGTTGTGTTTAATGCTGCTATGCTACAGATATATAACGGCCTGGCAGTGAAATATGATTTAGGTCACTTTCGGTATTGAGTGAGTGAGTTTAGTTTTACACTGCACTCAGCAATATTCCAGCTATATGGCGGCTGTCTGTAAATAATCAAGTCTACATCACTGCAACGGTAAAACCTACAAGCACTAGCATGGAACTGAAAAACCTTGAAGCAACCAGGAATTCAGACCCACGATCACAGGATTCTGGTATGCTAAAAGGAGGCAACTCCGGATAGAGAATTGCAACAACTTGGATATAGGGCCTTAGATATAGGGCCACCTAGGCAGCCCGTGTACCATTTTAGGGTCAGACTTGTTTAGGGGTTAGGGCGTAACACAGACTGAAACTTAAAAACATGCACTCAGTAACAACATTTCCTGAATATATCCATCCTCCATCATGTCACAGGGAGACTCACATGGGTCTGTTCTCCAGAATAAGGGCTGTGGTGGAGAGAACTTCAATATCTTGTTTCTTGGTTGTTCGACTGGCAGGGAAATGGGCACTGGCTCTCTGCTTGGCCTGATAGTCGGTGGAGATCTGAACCGAGTCCTTCTCTGTGGCGGCTTTGGGAGGTATTCGACCAAACAGCTTCCATCCTGGAGCACTTTCTGAAGACGCATTTTCTTTGGCTTTCCGGGAAAATAAATTTCTGAAAAAGAAGAAGCAACTTTTGAACAAGTTTGAAAACATTTTGCGAATGGTAAGAAACAGAAACGTACACCCAGTCAGTTCACAGTATCTTCAGATACCTGAAAGAAAATATTATTACTGGCACTGAGACTAAAGTGGATGAACTACATAAAGAGAAACGAATTATGACACATCACATAAATTTATATACAACCTAATCAAGTCTAATTAAACATACTAAAACTAAAACTAGAGAGAAAAGCTACAAAGTTTGATCTAAACGCTACTTGTCCATACTGACAAGGAAAACTACAAAGTTTGATCTAAACGCTACTTGTCCATACTGACAAGGAAAACTACAAAGTTTGATCTAAACGCTACTTGTCCATACTGACAAGGAAAACCACAAAGTTTGATCTAAACGCTACTTGTCCATACTAACAAGGAAAACCACAAAGTTTGATCTAAACGCTACTTGTCCATACTGACAAGGAAAACCACAAAGTTTGGTCTAAACGCTACTTGTCCATACTGACAAGGAAAACCACAAAGTTTGGTCTAAACGCTACTTGTCCATACTAACAAGAACATGACAATGATGGATAGAGCCCAGTGGTAGATTGTTTACATGTTAGTTATTTAGGCCGGTGGACATCTGATCCCGCCAGGTCTTGTTGTAGCATCTACAGCGTGAGGTCTCAGACTTTGGACCAAGATAGTGGTATTATGTCACCCATGGGACACCGCTCACGGTGACTCACACTTTCTGTCAAACACTTTATGAGCAACAACTCCATCAAACTGACACAACTCTACTCACATACTACGTCCATGGAGATGAATCATGTAACGTTAAATATGTTATTGTCATATTTCAAAGTATATTTTCTTTTTAATTGCGAATGGCATATCTATAATGGGATATATCTCCACTGTGATCAACTTTATCATGTTGTTTTAATGTCTAATTAGGAAATGAACATTTCAATCGTTAGTTTTAGATTTAACGATAAATTGAATCTGGAAACAAAAGCACAGCATGAGGTTTCAAATGTTGAATTTAGCATGGTTAGAACCCACATGTAACCAAGGTCCACACATACGACACAGAACGTTTATCTCCACTCTACCACCATTAAATATTTCACAATCAGTTTGGTATCAGCAAATATATTGACTGAAGGGGTATTTCGAGTCCCGTGCCTTGAGTGGGTTGTTGATCTGAATTACGGAATCACCGACAATAGCATTAAGACAAAATATGACATTCTGTGAATTCAAGCAGTTTGTGTATATTGTAAAACTTCACTCAAACACAAGAAAGCATGTAGCACGGCTACTTTGCAAGTTATCATGAGTTGGGCACTCATAAAGAAAACTAAGCACGCCTTACAAGGGTTTCGCAATTCATAGCTGTCATTATGATGTGAGGACGCTCATTGTGAAATCACAACTGTATGCAGGAGAGTGCCAAATTCCAAAGTTCATTGTCCCCAAATTTTGAAATACATTCTCAATTATACTTTCTGCAGAATATGTATTGCCATTAAATGAGTCACCACATTTGCATTTTGTAACCAATAATTGTACAAACAATTATTTAGATTTTTCAGGGTCTTTTTCCATTACTGTGACAAATATTACAATATATTTTATGAATTAGGGTAGCCTAGTGTTACTGCAATCACTTGTCACGCCGAAGACCGGGCAGGTTCAATTCAATACATGGGTAGAATGTGTGAAGCCCATTTCTGGTTTCCCCTGCCGTGATATTGCTGGAATATTGCTAAAAGCGGCGTAATACTAAACTCACTCACTCACTAATACTAAATATGGCCATGCTGTACAAGGACACTGCTCCCGGGTAAATCGGGATCCCAACGTATCAGCAAGCTGTAACTGCTTTCTCATCAGCTTATGTTATACCCTACGGTCAAGAAACCTTTGACAGATCTATGTACTTCAACACAAGGCCACCTTGTCACACTTCACTGATCCCACCCTCAATGAACCTTCCTAAGGCTATGGGCTTGTGATCATTGCAACTGTTTTGTTTGAAGACAGCTGTGAATATTATGTTTTATTGCATCATAAAGCTTGACCCCAGTCACCTCCTCCTGATGGGGATTATAGTCCAAAGGTCCTTCTGGTTCCCAAGTGTACTATTTAAATCTAGTATCTCTCTGAAAGCTAACCTCAACACTGGCATCCTGATAAGAAGCCCTCGCTTATTGTGAAATACTGATATGGGTTAGAATAAGAAATAATGTTCGCTGAAATTTTAGCTCAACATTAATATCTCATCATAGTGGTTCAATGTCATCCACTGTCAGTTCAACAAGCATGCTTCCAAAACACCATATAGTATGTGATGATCCTTTCTCAAGGAAGAATGTCAACAATTTGGAGACGCTAGCAACCATGATTGCAGGTTCAAATCCCTGTTCATCCAGATGACGTATCTGGGTTTAGCAGTACCAAATGCATGAACTTGGGTTTCACCAAATTTGTAAAGTGTCTGAGACAATCATAGATTCAGTCTTTCCTCCCACAGAACTCACTCACTCACTCAATCACCCACCCACTCTCACTCACACACCCACTCACACACCCACCCATTCAAACAAACAATGTACATATACCCTGTACCAGTTACGTCATCCAAACACACCAACACCCCAAACCATGATCAGTTGCTAACCTGCCCACACAATACCTCAAGGCCATTTACTGAAACAGTCCAACACAAAACCATGTTTACATATTCTTGTGAACTCCTCAGGGTGTTTCTTCCCTTGTGTCAAGTTTTCCCACAGTAGAAACCATAGCTGTTGTTATGATAATGTCTAGGCTTAAGTTTCACACTGTTATCAGTCCTGAACACCTTATCTATATTCATAGGACACACACCACTATTACCCCCAGATTGATTACCTACCCTGGCTAGTGTTACACTATGTATGCTGACCTACACTGTGGTGGACACAAAATCCTATCTACAAACTTGTATACGCTTAATCTTCTTAACTAGAGAACATAAGCCATCCACACTTTCCCGTCAAGTTGAAAAGACCACAACAACTTAAGATGTCATAAAGAATGTACGCGTCTTCATCATCAACAAACAGGTATCGATTCAACTCATAAGGGTATCAGCATGTTGATGACAATGCAGATTTTACCGGATTAGTAAAAGGACACACGTCAAATGTCATGTTACAAAAAGTGCTGTCTTTTCTCCACCAGTCGCCAGAGATTTCCCTACATGACAGACTGACCTTAAGGATGTCTGGTATGAGTTCGTAATCACTGCAGAACTTGAAATGTCATGCATGGGAGTTGTAACGACATAATGTAAGACAATCTGTCACTGATATGAAGCTGTACAGCCTACACTGTAAGGAAAACCATCAAGGTTACAGCTTATATATGTCAAAGATGGAAATATTTCAGTTAAACATACAAGGTGAGAGTGGGCTTAGTTATACCTGCTGTTCCCTTGTGTTACATCCACACATGAATCTGTTAATGGTGTAATCCCGGGTCATCATATATATGATCATTAAGGTCTGTTAGCATCATACCAATAACATGTGGACTCACCTGCGTGGTCCACATCCAGACCTGGGTCACTGAGGCCTGTGTCTATGTCACCTATTGATCAATCCCCAGAACTGATGAAATTGACAAACATTTATTTCGTGAGTACAATGTTTTGATATTCATAAAGTTTGTCAACATTGTATTTCTCAACTTCTAAAATCCCACTCAAAAAGCTCCAAAATTAAGTTGACACACTTTGATGAGACTGTTATACTATCAAAACAGCACAGAGCCCAACTCACTCACTCACTGTTATCACATCTAGACTTGAGACTCACTAAGGCCTGTAAGTCACTCAATGGCCAGTCTACATGAGTAAGCTGATTCACTAAGGCCTGTAAGTCACTCAATGGCCAGTCTACATGAGTAAGCTGATACACCAGATAAGACTGACATACTATCCCAACAGCACAGAGTCAACTCACTCACTCACTCACTCACTATTGTTATCACATCTTTATATTATTGATCAACATCACTGATGTTTCAATAATGATTCTAACTTCACATTATCAACTGCGTTTTCTCTGGGACATCCCTCCTTCAACATTGATCCCGAGAATCAAATTTCTCATGTCCTTTGTCACAGTAGGTCTAAAATTATAAGTGTGTCAATGATGTTGTTTCGCAAGACACTAAAGGGAATACTGATTGTGGGATTACAACAGTCATCCTTTCTCCACCAGTCACCAAGGAGAGATTTGCCTACATGACTGGCTGACCTGTAGGGCTGAGGTCAGACCTACTTACAGCAGGAAGCCTACTTAGATTAAGTACACAGCACTGGAAATAGCAGCTACATTTTCATAAATACTCTGGCTAAAGCTGTGGGCTATGGGCTATGGATGTCTTATATACAGATTCTCCTATTCTTGGTGCTTAGATACTGAATTCTTAATAACGTCTGACCACTTCAGTTCCATTCTATTTAAAGCTGTTCCTGGTTAATCTGCAAGAGGCTGAGGAGGAGGAGGGAAAAAAGGAAAATTGAAAATGTTGGTGTGGATGGAAGGAATAATTGAAACAGCTTCATCAAATTATGTTGATATTATGCAACCACTTCAATTCAGGGTATAAGAGTTCAGCACACATCCTGAATGCACACATCGACCTGCCCTCTGACTTACCATCCATCCACCCACCCTCTCTACTCACTCACCCTATCCACCCACTGACCCTACCAAAACACCAGCTAACCCTATCCAACCACCCACTCACCCTATCCATCCACCTGCCCACTCACAATATCAACTCACTCACCCTATCAACCCAACCACTCACCCTACCTAAACACCATCTAACTCCTATCCAACCATCCACTCACCCACCCTATCCAACCAACCACACACTCACTCCCCCTATCTAACCACCCATCCACCCACCAATTCATCAACCTACCCATTCACCCTTTCCAAC